CCCGTCACCCCCCTCCCCGCCTGTGAGGAGCCCGAGGGACGGCCGAGGGATAACGAGTTTTATTGTAAGGGCGGCGGGAAGGGGGGGCCTCCCCCTCCGCCCCCAGCCCAACTGACGTTAAAGTGCTCACCCTACGCAAGATACAGAGGTCATATCTGCACTACAGAATATATTATAAATTATACCATGCATCCATTAACAAAATATACAAAGCCAACAGAAATAGATCGTAAGCCTGAGCATACATTATCTAAACCCTAGTAAAAAGTAACCTAAAGAAAACGGCATTTCACACTTCACGTTTCCATCCGCAAAGAAGTGTTCCTCCTCAAATGTTTTAGTGTTTTGTTAGGTTATAGAACACATTTAACACTCCAAGGATGAAGGTACACACAGAAAGCACACGTGTCCTGCCGGGCGTTCCAGATCTAAAGCAGACAACCACACCACGCTTCGAAACGTCACCAGCTACTGCACTTCATCCACGTCCCTTCCTCCTCCTCGGTCTGGAGCAGGCATAAAGCCAAAAGGTACACAAAACAGTATGCATAAGGTGGGGAAAAAACCCAGTAGTTTCAATCTACAGAAAGCTCTTCATCTGGTCCACAGCAGACACTTGTACTGGTGTACAGAGAGATGGGAAACACTGCAAAATAGTTCTACTGTATTTCAAAATAAACATTTAGAGTATCTCTTCCACAATCTATAAAAATAGGTTTAAAACAAAAATGGTATGATACACTTTTTTTTTCTTCAATTATTTTAATGGTATCTTATCTCTAAGGGTATTATGTCTTTTTAAAAAAAATTACTACTGATCGCCTGGTCAGTCACAATACTGATACTGCTTCAGCTACCTTGTGACAAACAGGAATACCTTAAGTCTGAAGCAGCAGTAATAAAATATTTTAGGATCAATGGTCTCTTTACTGCAGCAAGGAAAAAAAAAGTTTTCTTTGAAAGTAAGAACGTAGCCAACACTGCTGTCACCTTCAGAGGACTAGACTCTGAAAAGTTATCTATGGATACACCACTGCACAGCAGTGCATGTTGCTCATTTCTTGTGATTCTTCAGAATCAAATCTCTCTCAGCAGGTTTAGAAGGGAATTCTTAGATTTTCAAATTAAATATGGGCATCTAAAGCAAAATCTTAGGGGAAAAAAAAGAATCCTACAGATGTGTCTATGGAAACACGGGAGCAGCTAGAACCATCACAGGAGACTGTACACTTAAAACTGCTTAAGTTAATGCATTTTTCAAACTATAACGCAAGTCACACAATCCCTACCTCAAGCACTCTTCCCATTCCTAAACTTTACCAGAATTTGTATTCCAATGCAGGTCTTGGTTTCTACTCATTCTTCAACTCCTCTATGGTGTTAACAGAATAAGAGGTTTGCACTATACTGAAAAAAGACAGCGGTCAAATTTTTAACATTTTTACAAAGAGCCTGTAAAGATTCTTAGAAAGGCCTTTCCTACCCTTACACTCCATTTTTAACAACATATTTTATGTAGGCTATATTTTCCTGTTAGAGAGATGTTTCGCACTGTCAGTACTAGAGATGGTTCGATCGCTGCTGGTAAATTCACTCTCCTGCTTCATTCTGCTACAAGAAACAATGACTTTCCTGGGATTCATCACTTTAACAGCGGTTACACTTTCAGACTTCACAAAAGTTGTTTGATGGGTCAAGGTAGCTTTCATGTATAAGCAACCTTTTTCTTCTAAAAATCATTTGTAAGGTTTAAGTCTGTTACATTACTGTCAGGCATTGGACAAATCAACTACTAAATCGTATCAGAAGAAACAACTTGCAAGTTGTGGGCATCTCTTGTAAATTAGGCAATACTAGGTTTTACAGCAGCCTTTTACATTGGTTCCTATTCCAAAGCTTGTTATAAGTCAACAAAACAAGTTTCCAGCTGCCTAAAAAAAGAAAAAAACCCAAATAATCTTACAATAAAAGGGAAAGTTCTCATCTGGGTGGAAGTTTAAAGTAACTCTACAGGATTACTTGATAAAAGGATTCAGTATGAAATTAGAGACTTAATGACTACCCATTTAACTATGAGGTCCAAACAACAGTTGAAATTCTGGTCTCCAATTCATAAGATGCTGTGACAAGCACTGTTTGACATTTCCATGAGAGAGAAAAAAAAAGTTGAAAGCTCAAAGAAAAGCCAAAGTTTCAGTCACACCTCCAAACAGGAAGCAGCTGAGGAGCAGCCTGCTACTGTTGCAGTGTTTAATGAGTCACTTCAAGGCAGAGGATCCCTCCTTCCACCCGGAAGGTTCAGCACCTGCTGCTGTACCAGTCGCCATTACTGATCTGAAGCAATTCAGTTACCACTTGAACCATATTATTGTTGTGTTTCTTCAGCAGTCGCAGGTTTAACTGCCTGTCACAGAATCCCATCTCACACAGGCTGGATAGAAGAGTGGCAGTGTGCTCTTCTGTAGCTGCAGGCTGCCGAAAACAAAAGATAGTAAGATAAGCTATAAAAAGATAATCTATTTTTGCCATTTGAACCATTATACTGGAATATAATTAAGGCACAGGGGCCCTTTTGTCCACAATTAAGCTGTTTATATTCACTTGCAAAGGTGAATTGCTACTCTGACATGACGCTGTAAGAGACATGCTTCTATCCCCATGGTATGGATTTCCCTGTCTGCTGGAGGAACAGCATACTTCAAAGGGATGTCATCAAGCTTAACATTTTTACTGTTGCATGAAGTCCTCTATAATAGACTATTGATAAAATTATAGGTCTTATGTTTTATAAATGTAAGGTCAGCATTCTATGAGACTCACATAGCATACAGGAAAGACATTTACCTGTTCTATAAGGGGTGGTCCAGCAAATAATGCTTTGTAGGCAGAAGCAGCAACTGACAAAGCTCCTTTAACCAGTTCTCCTGCAATGCTGCTTCCTTGAGGGTATCTGCAGAGAAGTCAGGTATTACTTTAGGGTCAGTAAAGCCAGGCATTTGTTTCACGTTAAATGCAAGTCTCTCCCTGTTGATGGACCACGTGAGATTTAGTTTTTATTAGAGAGAACGACCTCGGATCCAAAGGAATCATTGCTGTTTGGGACTTGAGCTATCCAGGAAGCTTATTACTGCTTTCCTAGTACCTTCTATTACATTGGGGTTTCATGCTGAAGCACATTAGTTTGCTTTCCCTAACATGGCCGTTTGTAAATAATTAAGTATTCTCACCCAGAACAACACATCTATACATGAAAGCTGTGCACTGTGTCACATCCATTCAGGCCAAGTAACTTCCATTCATTTTCCATCAATTCTTAAGTCACTTAATATTCTGCTCAATGTTTTGCCTCATTCCTCCAGTGTCAGTATCTTCAGATGCTTAACTTTGCGGCTAACTTATGAAATCCCTATTTTAAGAACCCTGAGATTTTCCAGAAAAACACTACAGAATTTTAGAAGGATTCAGCTTGAGCTCTTCATACACTTTTGCTTGCCAATTCTACCTCCTTCATATTCGTGTCTAAATAAAAACCAAGATCTTACGAAAATATAGCGTTATATAAGTCAGCACATGTTTCCTTTAAGAAGGGAGGCCTCTCTACCAAAATACTGAGTACAGGAAACCTGTAAGCCAGTGCTTGTTCCTAGGTACCCACTTTAGCAGTTCTTAGTTTAAAATGGTGTTTGGGAAGTCACAGCTTCAGCTTCATTACCTTGGGTATTCTGAGCACTTCTGTTTACTGCTTAGAACTCCAGAAGATCCTGGCCCATGACTGTCTTCACCACTGGGTTCTGGAACAGGAAGGGGAAAAAAATATCGTATCAACATGCCCAGTTAATGAGAAGCTGATGAGATGCAACGTGTATATGAATGAAGAGGGATTCAGTCCAAAATTAATACTTTCAAGTTGAGTTATCCAGACACAAACTAGGTATACAGGATTCTCACTGCAGTCAAAACAATCAGAAGAATTTCTGAAGTCATGTGGCTGATTAGTCAGTGGGTGTTTACTTTAACATGGCATGAACTGCTGTCTGAGCTCCCAGTGACTATAACAGCAGCTTAAATACATAGCTCATTAATTCTAGAGCAAGGTCATCTTCCAGATGTCTACAAATACTTCTGAGTACCCTCCTACCACTTCTAATTAATAGATGCTCTTAGCTGATCCAGAAAGCCAATTATTTATTTATTCAAACGTTCCATATATAGCAAAACTTCAACATCCAGAGGAAAAACAATCATTACTCAACAGATTTCTGCTCTCCTCAAGAAGAACAAGACATCTAATCCAATACTAAGCATAAGGAATAGGCAGTAACAATCGTGGATGCACCCTTCACGTACTGTCAATACCTTCTCTTATTTGATTACAAGGAGCGGAAGAGAGAGTCTCTGAAGCAGCTATGTTCGGTTCTTGGAAGATATGATTCTGAAGAGACGCAAGATTCCTGAGAACATACAGCAAAAAAAGTACTTTTACTACTTTCATTCTACATGTACACACGTATTTTAAGCCAAGAACAACAGACAAAAGAAAAAGCTTCACGTGCTCCCTTCTTTCCCCTTCTTGCAATCACCTAATCAGTGAGTACAGGCTTTATAAAAAGTTGCAGGATTTAGGGCGTTCACTCCGATATGTGACAAAACTTTTGTTGCAACAATTTCTGTTTGGACACTGCACTTAAGCACAACACCCTGCAGACTCTAGAACAACCCTAACATAACCATTTTGTTCTCCTCCAGGAAGCATACCTCTGTGTCTGGGGTAAGGCACCCACAGTCTCTGGGGTTAGTGGTACTACAGCCAGTGTTTGTGAAGTTGTCAAAATATCACTGACGCTGCGGATCTGGGGCTGGCTTCCCCC